TAAATAATGCAATTAAGGGCGCTTGAATATGCAATATTCGGCGCTTATCACTCATCTCCTCCATTTCTTGACTCCTCACATTTTTTTCATTTCAATTCGTTGGTTTGCTTTCCTCACCCTAACTCTAAAACCCTAACCCTAACCCTAAAGATCTTCTGCGCTTTAGAGTCCATTTCAATACGGTGGTTTGCTATAGGTTAGGACTTAGATTGACATGTCCCCTCAAGCATCAGGTAACTAACTCCTCTTATTTTTCTTATTACTATTAAATCTTTGTTGATATATTGTTTTATTCATATTTTAAATATTTTCTTTTTTTCTTTTTTGTTTTTGGTATGATGCGAGTAAAAATGCTTGTACATATCTAAGGCTAAGTTTTTCAATTTTGTGCTTCTAAAATAGGTTTGCTTCTTGCAATGGAGAAGCTAAACTGAAATGAGTGATCTTGGAAAAAAAAGGTAAAAATGAGAGCTCTGAAGCGCAGAAGATTTAATAGTAATAAGAAAAATAAGAGGAGTTAGTTACCTGATGCTTGAAGGGACATGTCAATCTAAGTCTTAACCTATAGCAAACCACCTTATTGAAATGGACTCTAAAGCGCAGAAGATCTTTAGGGTTAGGGTTAGGGTTTTAGAGTTAGGGTGAGGAAAGCAAACCAACGAATTGAAATGAAAAAAATGTGAGGAGTCAAGAAATGGAGGAGATGAGTGAGTGAGAGAGAGAGAGAGTTCGTCAACTGATGGAAGAGGGATGTGAACAAATAGAAGAGAGTTTGATAGTAATAGTAGTATTGATGGTTCACAGATCGTAAATGCAGTTATCAGACGGGTGGTGGAAATCGAATTAAATCACTACTTTACCAGCTATTTTTTCCAACGGACTAATTAGTACTACAGACACAGTCAAAGGGAGATTTTTTTGGAAAAATTTCACCTTAGTCCTACTTTTTTACCCTAAAGACAAAGAAGTCCTAAAAAAAATTTATAGGACAAACAAGTCCTTCTTTACATAAATATTTCCAATCAAGTTTTAAACTAAATATAATTTCTGTTACCCCCCTCTCAACCCCCTTTCACCCTTAAGCAATCGTCCGGTGCAGGTGGACAATCGTCCATGATTGTGTATTATTTGTTTCGTCCTCCTTCTTATTACTGAGAAAAGTATCAAACAATTCCCAACCAAATTTCATGGAAAACATTATCCCCATCACATCTTTTACTCTCTTATTTTGCTTCCTCTTCGGATATGATGTAAAACACTTCCAACACCACTAAAAAAACAATCACCATAATATTTGTAGATTTCACCTGCCGGAAAATCACAAAAAAACACTGAAAAAGGCATTGCCGACGAGAAAAAAGTACTGAGAATGCCTCCGCCAAGAGCTTTCCCGGCACTTTTCTGAAACCGCTGGTAAAATACCCGCAGTAAATTAAAACCGACTGTAATTTCACTTTCGCTGGCAACATAGAACTGCAAGTTATTATTCTTATTATTTTTTTTTATTTTTGTGTGTAAAAAAACCAACACTCTCTCTCTATTTTACAAACTTCAAAATTATCAATAGACACATAACCGACATAAGCTTCATAACATTCAGAGTAAATATACATCCAAATGTGTCAAAAATTCACAGAGTTCAACAAAAAATAATTAATTTAAGAGGCTCCCATCCTTTAATCATAACTTGTCCAACAACACCATCATCTAATACATCATCCAAAGCATAGACCAGTTCTCTATTTTCTTCCTCCCACTTTCGAAGCTTCTCGTTAGAATAAAAACAAAGCTTGATGATGGCCTATTTTGCTTCAGAATACAAGGTGAGATCTTCACACACTTGCTTTGCATCAGAGATTCCACTTTTATTTGGTATTCTGCCATTCTTTCTTTGCCGTGCAATCAGATTCAACTAACACCTGTGGCAAGTAAAGCTAAATAATTGGCACACTACAAAGAAAATAAAAGTATGCAACACTTGGTCCAAATTGTCCTTAAATGAATTCTATGTTCATCATGTCAGCTCAACATATTTCACATCAACATTTATCTAACAGGGCGGTAGTTTATACAAGGAGAAAACAAGTAAAGCAAGAACTGTTTACCGAGGCAAAGGGAATCCATTGATTGGGAATAAAATCAAGTCCTATTCCTAGTATGGCGCACCATACTAGGAATAGGGTGTCCACTTTTATTCTCATGCTCGCAATTGTTTTGAAAAGCTAGGTTATCAATCAGGCAGTTGGGCAGTCCTAGTTATTTTTCATGTACAACATGTCATGCTTGTGTTACAGTACTAATGGTTTGATTTAATGCAGATGCCAACCTCAGAAGAAAGAAGTTTCGAGTCCAATAATCATACAGTTTAGCACATATTAATGGATTGATTGATTAGTGTTACCAAAATTTTGAAAGCAAACTTGTTACCCTGCCATTTCAATCAGGCAGTTGGGCAGTCCTAGTTACTTTTCATGTACAATACTCCTAAATGTATGGACCCTCAAGACTATCTACCTTCATTTCTATGGCTATGGTGTATTAGTTGATTTTACAATGAGTACTATTGCAAATATAATGCATTTTAATCTGTTGTAGTTTACAAGTTCAGTTCATTTCAATAGGTGGCAGAGATTTAAGTTTATATAAATACTAATGCTGATGTGATTCTTAAATTTTCTGATGCAGGTTTTTGTGGGTGATGTTCCTTCCATGGTGTGAAGAAACGTAGCATCTATGCTATTTCCCCGCCAAAGTTTGTGGGATTTGAGTGTTTGATTGTAATATGGAGTGAGCAAATGGGAGCTTGTAGTTGCTGATGTCATTTCTTCTTTAAGCATAAAATTTTGTTATTCAGTAAGAATGGAATAGTATTAACTATTTAACGGACTTGCCCAAAATAGAAATGGCATTAAAGTAGCTTTGTTCACCTGGCAGGAGGAGAAGCTATCATCCATACAATCTTCCACAGTTGAGCTTTGGTTCATTTATGACAAATTCTGATATAAATTGACCTCTCCTCCATCAAGGCTGGATTGTCTGCAATGAGCTTGATTTTATATAATCTCTATTTTTTATCCTCATTTCAGGTTATTATAATATTCGAGGGTGTTAAAGTTTCTGTATTTCTTGTTCTTTTTAGCATTAGGTGCAATATTAGATTTTAATGGTTTAAAAATTACAATTATCCTGTTTCTGTTGATGGTTTGGGTTCCCACCTTGGCTTATAGGGATTGATAGTCATACTGGTTTGATTTTGGGGGTTGGGCTGTTTGCTTGGGCTTGAATGTTTTGATGTTTTTTTGTGTGTGTTTCTTTTCTTTTCTTTTTTTTTTTTTTTTTTGGCACTGGAGGTGGGTTGTGCCTAATGGGCTTTTTGGCCTACTTTTGTATTGGCCGTGGGTTATGTCCCAACTCCCAAGTAAATTTGTAATTTATTTCTTTATGGATCAACTGCAACCACTATAGATGACCGAGAAATTGGTTATAAACTTATAAGGGCGTGTTTGGGTGAAACAATTGTCAGAAATAAATTTTTCTTGCTGTTTTTGGTTTTTTTTCCTCTCTCAACACAACTGAACTAAAGAGCCGTTAAAACAGTGCCTTGAGGCTTTCTTGGGCAGAAAAAAAGCTAAAAAAATAAAATAAAATTTTTGTTTTTTGTTTTTACTTATTATGCTATTATAGCCGTTAACGGCTGAAGACTATACTGTCCCAAAAAAAAAAAAAAATTTCAAAAATTTATTTCTTAACAAAATTAAATTTATTTTAAAAAAATGATTTCTTTTTTTCTTTTTAATAAAAAAATTGCCTTTGTTTTCACCTCTATAAATAAATGCATGAAATGAAAACTTTGATTTAATCAACAAACAATTTCATTATAGCTAGTGGTTCATTTTTTTCTACAATGAAATATATTACAAGTACTGTGCATTTTAATCCTGTTTATATCATGATACGGTTCTGGTTCATATCAATTGGTCCCAGAAATACTGATACTGATACCTTTTTAATTCGGTGTTGCAGCTTTCTAACCAGGAAGGCTCTTGTGGATGATGTTCCCATCCATTCTGTGGAAGGGGTGCTGCTTCGATAGTTCTTTTCAGTGATGCAAACTTCAGATTTTTTTCCACCTGATTTGAGTTTTGAATTGTAGAATGACATTTGGATACTTGTAGCTGCTGATGGCAGAAAATTTGAAAGAAAATTTGAAAGAAAGTCGAGCGAATATGCAAGCACGAGTTTGGAGTTGCCGGGATCGAGTGAGGTGAAGGCTGACAAAGTGAGGATGTGCGAACAAGGCGAGCCAAGACTTGGATACAAACTTGAACCGTACAATAGACTTCACGGGCAGCCTTGACAGTACGTCCGTCATGAGATCGTACGGAAGGATCGGTGACAACTCGTCTTTCTCCATAGCCATACCCCAAATTTTCCTTCAACTAGGGTTTTAGAGCCGAGCAGAGTTTTTTTTCTTTTTGTGCTTTCGAATGGGGTATTCGATAATTTTCTTGGCAGGTTAGATAACCTGATTTATGCTGCCATTATATATATATATGTTTCCTACTTTCCTTATTCAATCAAACCACCGACTGAAGATGGAGTCGGTGCTCGCCTGTTGTTCGCACCGGCGGATATGACTGAAGGCAAAGAAAACATTAGTTTCGGGTTCTTTAGGCTTCAATTCTCTTTATTCTTCTTTTGGGCCTCGATGGGCTGCTTGGAATACATGCTGTATTCAGTTTCTTTTAGGGTTGGGCTTTTGGGCCTTGTATATTCTTTCTTCATTTATACAATATTTACCTTCCGATAGAATAAAATTTTTTTCCTTTGTTAGTCCTTATCCTAGTTTAACATGAATTTGGTCTCTTATCCAAATAATAAATAAATACATAAAATAAAATATAATAAATAAATAATAATAAATAAGTGAATTTTTTTTAGAATACTTTTTAAGAGTAAAATTATTACTATTTTTTATTTAATTAATAATAAATAAATTATCAAATTTAATCATAGTAGATCATTAGTGATGATTTATTTATATAGGTTGAATGAAAAGGAAAAAAAATTAAATTATTAATATTACAAAAATAATACATTTACTTTTTAAATTAAACACTTATTAAATACGATGAATAAAAATATAAAGACGAATACTTACTTTAAAATGAGAGTAAAAAATAAGATTAAGAATAAAAAAAATAAAAAATATATATCTAAAACTCGTTACAACAAATTGATTTGATTGTTGTTAATAAACATTTCAGCCTAAAATTAAAACCAACCACGTTAGTACTAGCCATGATCTGTACTTAACAAGAAAAAAAATGGTATATTTATAAAAATATTCAAATCCTAACCCCTTATTTTCTTCTTTTATCACCCTCCGTCTTCTTTCCCCTTCTCAACGGTGAATGGGGTTTTGAGATATCTATCTAGGGTGTTGTCTGGAAATGGAAGATGCTGAAGAGCGTTTACATAAACCTCCCGAAAGATTGGCCCTGAACATCAACAACAAAGACGATGTCACAGAAGGTACTGATTTACCTCGCGAGATACTGATCCACATACTAATCAGACTCCCAGTAAGAGACCTCTGCAAGTTCAGGTCAATTTCTAATGAATGGCTCTTTTTGATATCTTCTGATCAACTGCTCTTGAATTTGCACACCCGTTTATCTAATACAACCCCTCTATTGCTGTGCACTAATCTTAATTTTGAACTCTGCGAAAATGTCAAGACATAATCAACTGTTCGGATAACATTTGTCGACTTGAACAATGGAACATTATGTGACAACTTTACTAAGCTCTTTGATGATCATATTAGTTCTTGGATTTCTTGTTTCGGTCTGATATGCTTGGTCCCTTTTGTTCATGTGTATGTATGTAACCCAAGCACCCATGAGTTTCTCAAATTGCCTGAAAGTTGGTCAAATTTGGGGGAATTGGTTTCGGATTCATTCTGGATAGGAACAAATATAAAGTTTTCGGTTTGTTTTCACATGATTATGATGATGAGGAGGATGAGGAGGTTTGGTGTGAGGTCTTTACAATAGCAGACGGTGATGGGGTAATTCTGGTTCTTGGAGGATTAGAGATACCCCTTGTTACAAATGGACGGAGAGTATTACGCCCGACTATGATCATCAAAGGATAATTACATACACTTATCATGCAGTTTCTAAGTTTGGAAACCTTTGGTTCATTTAGACATTTGATTGGTGAATTTGGTGTTACTAAGAATTTGATAACAAACTTGTTATCCCATAGGAAAATGACGTATAAGAAAATTTTCTACACTGATTTGCATGTTCCATTGACTAGGGCATCAACTATCTTGTCAATGACATATTGTGGAAGTTCTAATATTTTTCTATAAATTGTATTTTTAATCCAAATACTAAAATTTCCATTAATTGGCACCTTAACCTTTAAATTACAGTTGTTTTGTTCCTTGTTGAGCATTCGTGTTTGTATTTTCTAAGGTTGAGCATTCGTGTGTGTCATCATCTGCTTCTGAAATTCTTCTTTTTCTTTCTTCTTTTGGAGCCATAAGAAATTATTACTTTTATTTTGAATTTCTTAACTTCTTTGGATTCATTTGAAATAAGCACTTTGGTTGATGTCTCATGTTGCTATTGAGAGGCCTGAAATTTTCTTTAGGAGAAGTTAATTAAGTTGAACCCTTGATGCTATGAGCTACACTCATCTTGTCTCTTCAATATTTCTGAGGATGTTTTGTCTTTCTATCCGTGAAATTAATTTGCATTCCCGATATCTTAACCTATAGGAGTATATATAGACGACTGACCACCCTGACTACAACAGGCATCTTAACAGCTTATACTGATATATGCGTACGCATGTATACGCATATTTCAAATTAGTATATTTGGGTGTGTGTAGTGTAACAATGTACTCATAAGAGCAAAGAAAAGAGAGAAGAATCAGGCAGAGATGATGGGGAAAAAAAAAAGAGTCACTAGCGTTAAATTAGAGAGAATGTGTGAGAATTGTTTAAAAAGAAGAGTTGGCAACACCCCAAATCTGATGACTCACAACAACTTCTATCCACATAAAAAAACTAAATATTAAATAAAGACGTTAATGCAATTAGAAAAAGAATTCTCTAGGCTTCGAAATACAATAACATTTTTGCAAGGAGAAATTTTTTATTTTATGAGATTTTAATGTACAGGACTCCTAGGTATTTATAGACAACTGATGACCCTTGACAATATGCATCTTAACGGCTTATGTCTTTTGGAAATTAGCTTTGTTATGGTCTCCTTTAAAACTATTGGTATCATATAAACTAACTATTGTTTTTAAAATGTATATAAATATTAGAAATTAAATTCACTTTTATAAGGGATATAGATATATATTCATTCATCAATAATATTTCAAAATTCTCAACTTTAGATTCAATTATGTTTTGTTGTATGAAACTGGTGCATGGATTCCATGCAACCGAACATAGCATCAAAGTTCTTCTCCTCCATTTCGTCACGTTTTCAATATTTCTATTAAAGGAGTCAAATTTATTATCGATGAGACTCAAACCTCTTGAGAGATTAAGTTAAGAAAATAGACAATAAAAATATTATGCATAATAAGAAAACAAATATAGCTATCAAACATGCCTTAAGGTCTCTATTCACTACAAGATTTATAGCGTACACCGGCAGTTTTTTATTGGGGGTTCTAAAAGTGCCGGAAATTTGCCTTTATTGCCGGCAGTTTTTAAAAACTGCCAGTGTAGACAAAACCGGCAGTTTTTGCAAAACCGCCAGAAATAACCGGGCAGAGGTAATAAATATGTATTTAAGTATCATCTCTCTAGTCTCGTCTCTTCTCTTCTCTTCTCTTTGATTATAAATAATTGTCGCAGAATATTCTCTTGGCAATCAGGTCTTCGATGAAAAATCTCAACCCTAGAAAAGAGCATTCCTCAATCCCTTGCAATTGAATTTCACATCATCACCAATCGATTTCTCACATCATGAATTACTCACCTCTGCTGACCAACTGATTTGTTACCATCTACATTCGAGCTTTCAAAACCCTAAACCCTTCGCAATCCGAACAAGCATCACGAATCCATGGTTGTTCAACAAGTTCTAGTACTTTGAGAATTCGATTTGCAAACGATGGGCATAAATTTCGATCTCTTTGATCGACTGAAGTTAGGGCTTCTTCGGAGGAAGCTCAGTCCATCACGAGCGGTTCATTTGGGGATGAAGACGAATTTCACGGCCAATATTCGATGAGTTCATCAGTTCATCACTTTGGAGATAGTCAAAGTTGTTATGTCAGTGGACATCGTTCCCCTCTCACTCGCTAATGGTTGGAGCTAGTCCTTTGCTGGGGTTGTTCAGGTCGTCTTCTCTCTCTATATATACACACACATGCATATATGTATATGCATGTGAAATTGTTTGAATTGCGTATAACTAGGTTAAGAATTTGTTGAATTGGGTTTCTTTACTGAAGGCTATGGAAAAAATCTCTCCCTATGAATTTGCTTCATTTTTTAAGTTTCATTCTTACTATTATGCTTGTTTATTCTGAAATATCAGAAATTTTAAATTTTTAAAGGCTTAAATAATGGAAAGATAGCAGGAGACACTTTCAACAACCCAAAACACCTGATTAGTCCTGTGAATCCTTTTTTTTTTTCCCCTTACTTGCAAGCTGCAAACCCCTATAGACTCTGCCATGGTTCTTTGCCATCACTTTTTTGTTCGAAGGTCGAATGCTAATCTTGATAGATTTGTGAGTTTCCTATCTTTCATGCTTCAAAATTTCTGAAGTTCTGTAAACTTCCATCTCAGGATGCTTCCTGTTGTAAGTATTTTTGGTACTTATCTGAGTTCCCCAAATCACATTATGAGTGCCATCTTTGATTATTTTGTTTGAATTAGTACCATGAATACAAATGTTTCGGAGGTGATTTATTGCTCAATTTTATCATCATTATGTATGGATTTTTACTGTAGATCAGACTGTGCTAGTTGAAAAATTAAAAAATGCCTCTATTATCGTATTCAAATATTTTCAATCTGTGTTCTAGCATTGGATAATGAACCATTTTAAAGTACTTTATGGAATTAATATAAGTCTCACTTCTTTGCTTCATTAGCAATTCCTCCCTAGTTCATTGTATGGTTGGATAGATCATAAATTGTTGGGGCTGACCAATTTAAACTAATATGTCATTGTTAGAGCTTAGTGGTCAAATTTCTTTCTAGGCAATGTTGTGTTCAAGACTGGAGATTTTATTTTTTTGACAAGTAAAGTGTTCAAGACTGGAGATGGTTTCACATTGGGTAAAATTTTTCATTAGTAGTACTGTAGCTAACTAGATGATGGGTAAGAGTCTAAATTTTATCTGCATTAATTGCTTTAGTTCATGATCTTATTGTTGCATTTACAATAAGTACAGTATGTTTCTTCCATTGTTGCTTGTTTGAAAGCTTCAAATCTATATTAATTTGGACGTAATTTCAGTTACTATTCTGAGTCAAATTTGTTTGTTGAAGAAGTTACGCAAATCTCCAGAGTTAATAGTTATGGAAAATTTAAATTTACTACTTCCGACTTTTGTAGGATGGCTGAGAATTACTTACTTCTGAATCAAAGACCAGATTGAAAAGGAGAAAGCTCAGGGCGTGGATTTGTCAGTTTATGGCTCTTCCAAGGTGGTGGGAACCCAAGCCCCTGTCCAACTTGGATCACTTTGTGCTGCTGATGGCAAGGAATGAATTGGATGGATGCCGGTCAGTTCTTCTGGTTGCAGTCAATGAAGGTTGTTCTTTTATTAGTATATGTTTCCATTAGTGATATGTCTACTATATTACATGGGAAGTAGGAAGATATATGGATATGTAAAATAATTTGTTTTGGAGCTACTATTTCAGTAATCTATTATATATTACCTGTGATGCATGCAAGGAAAACTTTATTATCCCGTTGTATATATTACATGGGAAGTAGGAAGATGGTCATGTAGTTGCCTTGCTTTCTATGATCAGCCTTTCAATTAAGCTCTTTTTTCTTTTTAGACTTAAAAAAAATGTGGTTGGTATGAACTTTGTTAGTCTAGAAAGTTTTGGTACATTGTGGTCCTATTACGTGCCTAACGAAACAGGAAGCTATAAGGTGAAATAAAAGAGGACTGGTTCTTCATTTGATTGTGTTCCATGGCATGTATATGTTGATAGGCTTTTTCTTCAATTAATTTTGTGTTCAATGGCATATATATGTTGATAGGCTTTTCTTCAATTAACTTTGTGTTCAATGGCATATATATATATATATATATATGCAAAGTGATCTGATCAACATTGTGCGACATAAATTCAAGACATAAAAACTACTGAAACTACAATGAATTGAGATAATTTTCCCATCATTGGAAACGTCGCCTCTAGCAAAGATTGGAGGATGTTTTCTAATCCCAGCTGGTGCAGAAGGTTTAAAATTGACTGTCAACAGCTTGTCTTTGTCTGCTATCTGATACACCCTTGTATTTTTATACAAGGCCCTCTTAACAGATGTTCCCTCTCTTTAGTGGCTTAGGATAGCTTAGACCTTACTCATGGCTTATTGCTAAAACTTGTTTGGATAATTCTTAAGTCAATTTTGCTTTTCAATTAAATGGAATATTAGGCTAGAACTCCTTTCTCAGGTTGCATTGATTTTATTCCTAATCAATGGATTCCCTTTGCCTCGGTAAACAGTTCTTGCTTTACTTGTTTTCTCCTTGTATAAACTACCGCCCTGTTAGATAAATGTTGATGTGAAATATGTTGAGCTGACATGATGAACAAAGAATTCATTTAAGGACAATTTGGACCAAGTGTTGCATACTTTTATTTTCTTTGTAGTGTGCCAATTATTTAGCTTTACTTGCCACAGGTGTTAGTTGAATCTGATTGCACGGCGAAGAAAGAATGGCAGAATACCAAATAAAAGTGGAATCTCTGCTGCAGAGCAAGTGTGTGAAGATCTCACCTTGTATTCTGAAGCAAAATAGGCCATCATCAGGCTTTGTTTTGATTCTAACGAGAAGCTTCGAAAGTGGGAGGAAGAAAATAGAGAACTGGTCTATGCTTTGGATGATGTATTTGATGATGGTGTTGTGGGACAAGTTATGATTAAAGGATGGGAGCCTCTTAAATTAATTATGTTTTGTTGAACTCTGTGAATTTTTGACACATTTGGATGTATATTTACTCTGAATGTTATGAAGCTTATGTCGGTTATGTGTCTATTGATAATTTTGAAGTTTGTAAAATAGAGAGAGAGTGTTGGTTTTTTTACACACAAAAATAAAAAAAATAATAAGAATAATAACTTGCAGTTCTATGTTGCCAGCGAAAGTGAAATTATAGTCGGTTTTAATTTACCGCGGGTATTTTACCAGCGGTTTCAGAAAAGTGCCGGGAAAGCTCTTGGCGGAGGCATTCTCAGTACTTTTTTCTCGTCGGCAATGCCTTTTTCAGTGTTTTTTTGTGATTTTTCGGCAGGTGAAATCTACAAATATTATGGTGATTGTTTTTTTAGTGGTGTTGGAAGTGTTTTACATCATATCCGAATAGGAAGCAAAATAAGAGAGTAAAAGATGTGATGGGGATAATGTTTTCCATGAAATTTGGTTGGGAATTGTTTGATACTTTTCTCAGTAATAAGAAGGAGGACGAAACAAATAATACACAATCATGGACGATTGTCCACCTGCGCTGGACGATTGCTTAAGGGTGAAAGGGGGTTGAGAGGGGGGTAACCGAAATTATATTTAGTTGAAAACTTGATTGGAAATATTTATGTAAAGAAGGACTTGTTTGTCCTATAAATTTTTTTTAGGACTTCTTTGTCTTTAGGGTAAAAAAGTAGGACTAAGGTGAAATTTTTCCAAAAAAATCTCCCTTTGACTGTGTCTGTAGTACTAATTAGTCCGTTGGAAAAAGTAGTACTAATTAGTCCGTTGGAAAAAATAACTGGTAGAGTAGTGATTTAATTCGATTTCCACCACCCGTTTGATAACTGCATTTACGATCTGTGAACCATCATTACTACTATTACTATCAAACTCTCTTCTATTTGTGCACATCCCTCTTCCATCAGTTGACGAACTCTCTCTCTCACTCACTCACTCATTGATAAGCGCCGAATATTGTATATTCAAGCGCCCTAAATTGCATTAGTTAAGTTCTTTATTTGTGTATTTTATATAGATTATCTCCAATTGTATGTTTTTGCACATTTTTAAGTTAAATTGCAAAAAGGAAGCAAAAATGATGCTTTGTGGAGTTTTGGCCATCAAAAGGCACAAGGCTGAATTTCTGGCAGCAGTAGATCCTGAACTTTGCTCGCCATTTTGACCTTGAAAACTTGAGAACTGGACTTCCATCATAACATGACATATTTAGAGCTCTGAATCAGCTTTCCAAATCTTCAAGTGGTTCGTCGTTCGGAGTTCGGAGCAGAGAGTTATGATCTTCTTATCATAGGTGCTCAGAACTGCCTGGCAACAATGAAGTTCTGCCTTGTTCTTCAATTTCGACCAACCAGACTTGAGAATTGGATCTCCACCAAAACATAAAGTTTTTAGAGCTCTGAATTAGCTTTCCAAATCTTCAAACGGTTCATCATTTGGAGTTTGGAACGCAAAGTTATGGCCATTTTACCAAAGTAGGTCCGGGCGGAGCAAACCAAGCATAGGGCATTCTGCCCAATTTTTGAGTGCTCGAGGCCCTATTTCGAGCACTCGAAATTAGGGCAGAATTCTACACGACTCAGCCCACTTGTGCTCAGATTTTACCTACTTTAGAAGCTTTGCTTTATGAGTTGGTTGGGGATGTTTCTTGGAGGAGAGAGAGCTTTTTGGGTGGATTTCTTATCTAGATAAAGAGGGGAGAGCCACACATTTCATTTGCTTTTGATTTTTACAAGAGAGAGGAGAGGGAAGAGAGCAAAGGAAGGAGAGTTCTTGGAGCAAGAAAGGGGAGCTCGAAAATGGAAGGAGGATCCATGGTTCTTCTTCATTCTAAGGCTCCCATGTGTAACTAACTCCTCCTCTATGGAGGTAATGGAACCCCTCATTGTAAGCATGCTTTACTTTTGATTCTAGTTTGGGAAAAATAATGTATTTTTGTGGTGATTCCATAATCTAGAACTCTTACTTGATGTAATGAATTGATTTTGATTTAATGATCATGTTGGACCTACTTTCTTGTCTTAGAATGTATGTTTTCATGGTTGTATGGTTTACATTTTCATGGTGACAATGAAGATGAGATTTTTGGAATGGTTTTAATGGCATGTTGTTGAGAGATTTGATAGGCCATAGCTTAGGTTCTTCCTTTGATGGCTTATTCTTAATTCTTAGCTTCATGTGCTCTTATCATGTGATTGATGGTTTGACAATTTCTAGCTTAGTGAACATGTCTTAAATTACACTTTAGTTTAGGTAATTGAGCATGTAAAATCTTTGATAAATTGTTCTTGCCTATTGATTCCATGAATCCTTTGAAGGTAATGTAGTAACCATGAGTAACTACTTATCATAGCCACATATTTATGTTATTTTTCCCCGAATGAATCATATTCTAGCATGTTTATATTGTAGGTGGTGAAGTTACTTCCCTAGTCTCTTTTACCGACGTTCTATCTCATCTAATTCTTGCAAGTCACTATTGTTTTATGCACATTTGAATTCCTAGTTTAGTGACCATCAAACAAATCCTTATTACCCCTTATCATTCTAAGAACAATTCTAGACACTTAGGTTGCCATAGACTAGCGCAGTCCCAGTGGTTCGACTTACCCGACCAATAGCCCTATTTTACAATGATTCGTGCTATTGCGAAGGTTGATGTATAGTTGATCAACCGATCAATTTTTGGCGCCGTTGCCGGGGACTTGCATATGGTTTAGCAACCAAAGTTCTAGGGTTAATTTTAGTTTGATTGTGAATATTGTGTCTTATGAATATTCCTTGTGTGTTTTAACCATCTTTGTATTGTAAGTGAGATCCTAGGGACTCGAAGCTCGCCGTGGGAATGCTAGCAAATTGTGAGTCTAGAGGCCCCCAGGTAAGTCTCGTGACTTCTAGTTTCGAATTGTGGATATTGTGCATGTGTTAAGCTTAGAAGTAGTTAAATTGCAAGCCCTTGTCGAGGCTATTTCAATTGTGTATTTTCAATTCCAAGCATCGGTGTTTGTCGTGGCCATTTTAATTTTTGTCTTGAAAATTGAGGAGAAAGGGAATATCATTGTATGTGGAGTTGATGATAAAGAATTGTTGTGTTGATTATGTTGTGTGTTGTTGATGTTTAACTCCTAGATGGAGAATAATTATCTCCCAACTCAATTCTACACACCACATACGTTTTGTGCTTTTTGCTCTAGTAATACACATCATACAAGAGATTGTCTTCCAACAAGACAATTCTCGGATTTTTATTTAGAGCAACCAAATGCAAATTTCTCTGAACCGGGTAGTGATCCATACTTCAATGGTTATAACTCGGGTTCAGGAGATCATCAAAACTTCTTGTGGCATGACATAGGAAATTCAGCCCCACAATCTCTTGGGCAACATTTTTACTCCAATTTTCAACCCAATGATCATTATTTCCAGCCCTCTTCTTCTCCTTTTCTACCGTCTCCATTGGATGAGTTAATAGCTGCCAACGAACAAATGATAGAGTCTATGCATACGCAAATGATGGAGTCCAACAAGCAAATGTTGGATGACATTGTTAGCATGCAATCCACCGCCTATTCTCATTCCCAATCTAGAGTTGATTTAGATGACCAAATAGCCCAAATTCAACAAATGGTTGATATTCTAAATCAGGAAAAGGAAGAAGAATTTCCAATTGAACTTGTGGTCAATCCAAAAGAGAATTCTATGAATGATGAGTTTACTTCTGGTAATTTTCATCACGAG